TTCATTACAGCTGCGGTGTCAGGAAGAAACGCTAAGCCTTCAAGGGGTTAACTCCGCAAAGCCGTCCCAAATCACTCCATTTCTTAAGTGTCTACTGCAGGCTGGGCACTGTGCCAGTCTCAGAGGTGATGGCATGGTCACTGCTGGAAAACACGAGGGACAGCACATTTTCTTTGTCAGAAAATGTTTTACCCACTAAAAGCCTTCTGTATGAGTTAGGGTCCAGACGGGAAACAGAAAGTAAATTAGTAATTCGATTAGCGAAATTTTAACATAAAGAATTGTTCCCTAGGAAAGAGCGGTTATTAAAACCACACTGCTTACAACTGCCGGCCGGTGTCCTCCTGGATACGTCCTCCACTCTCGATATCCTTAACATTACTCAACATTAGTTTTCTTCCTCCCTCTCTGATCATTCTTTCGTGGGTTCCTTTCCTTCACACCTGCTTTAAATGCTTTAAGCAGTTTCATCCCCTTCCTTAACTTAATGGTGAGTGTGGATGAGTAACTCTGAAAGCAGCATCTCAGCTGAGCTCCAGACCTGGGCGTCCCATGGGCTCTGTAGAGGCAACATGAACACAAGTCACCCTCTTATATCTGCTCTCAGTCCGGGAGGGCCATTATCTTAGACACTTATCCACCCCCCCCACCCCACATGTAATCAGCAGTGTCTAACACGGCATATCTCTGACATCCATCAGCAACAATCATCCTCAGGCCCTTCATCATCACCATCATCTTCATCATTACCATCACCACCAACACCATCATCATCATCACCATTCTAAGTGACTTTGCCTTTGCTCAAACCCTCATCAGACCTGCCCTGGACCCCTAAATTTCTCAATGTCCACCTGCTCTCATCATCCTGAGGCAATTTACAACCCAACTCTGAGCACGGTTACAACCCCAGGCCCACTTAAAACCCTTTGTTGGTTCCTCATAGTTCAGAAAACAAATCCAGACTCTCGGGATGACACACAGGCCTCCAGGACCCAGCCCCATCAGCCATACAACTGCCCCATCTCCACCCCCTGCCCACCTCTGCACCTCCTGTTCCAGGCCTGAGAATTGTGCTCTGCCTCTCAACTCCCCTGGCCGTTGCAAACCCAGGGCCTCTTGCCGGGCTACCTGACAACCCTACCTAGCTTTTAGGACTCGGCTCAAGTTTCACCACCTCTTTATGTAGTCATTTCTTTAAAACAAATTATACACACATGCGCACACACCAATTATTGAGCTCACAGGGAAAAGTGATTCAAAAATAGTTAACCACTGATAAAGCATGAGCACCCACCCAGCAGAACAAATGCTGGCCCTGGGGCAGGAGCAGAGTCTTGCAGGCTCTCTGCCATGCTAGGGTATTAACCTATTAGTTGCTAGATTGTGAAGAGGTCTAGTGGTCCAGAGACAGGACACGCAGGGGACGCGGGGCAGCAGCTATTTATTAATACCAAGCAGCATGGAAGTATTTCAGTCCTTCAACCTCTGGTATGGTTGCACATGCATGAGCCCTGGGGGTCTTACTATGTGCCAGATGCTGTGCTAAGCTAAGCCTTCTACACCCACTATCTCATTCAATCCTCACAACCACCCTGTGAGGTATCATCACCATCTCCGTCATTACCATCACAATCATCATCATTCTCCACCATCCCATCATTACCACCTCCATCACCCCCATCATCATCACCATCTCCATCATTACCATCACCATCACCACCATCATCATCATCACTCACGACTTGCCCAAGGTCATGAGTAAGTGATGGAGCAGTCTTCCCACGAGTGTGCTGACAGTCCTGCCTGAGAAGTTTCACTGCAGCCTCTTATGCTGGTGCTGGATCTGCCATTTAATCGATGCCTTCAATAACTTGTGCCCATTCTTTGTTCAGAGGGCGGAACAACCTGATGTTTCCTGAAGGTCCCAATTCTCACGGAAAAATGCCAAGCTTCTGCAAACCTTTGAAAACCTGTTCTAACCACTTTTAGTCCAACCTTGGCAGAACTGGCCACTCCTTCCCCTTGGCCCAATACACCTGGCTATAGCACCTATCTTTTTTGGCGGGGGGGGGAGGTACAAAGTGCCTTTTATTCTCTTTTCTGATGTAATTGAAAGAATGCATTTTCAAGATCAGTAGACACTTGACAATTTTCAGAGGCTGTGTTGATCTGTTCTAGTGAAAAGACTATCTTGAGCACCGTAGCTATGACTAGGGCCCCCATTTACATAAATTTTCAATTATTTTTAATTCAGGATATTATGGGGGTACATTTTGGTTAGATGTAATGCATTTGCCTTGCACAAGCCAGGGCTGCAAGCATGTCCTTCCCCCATACAGTGTGCTTCACTTCCATTAGCTGTGGGTTTGCCCCCTCCACCCCTCCACCTGACTGGCACCCAATGAGTATTACTACCACGTGAACAGCTTAGTGTTCATCAGTTAGTACCAATTTGATGGTGAGTATATGTGGTGCACGTTTTTCCATCCTTGTGATACCTCACTTCAAAGGATGGGCTAAAGCTCTATCCAGGATAATGTAAGAGGAATAGCACCTCTAAGTCTTTAGGACACCTACCATTTTAACATGATGGTCACCCCCGTGGCCTGTGTACTCATCGAGGACAGGATCCTGTCCTCAACTTTTTGCTAAGCATCTTTAATTCACTGATGCTTAGCAAAATGTCTGGCTATTGGCCCAATACATCTTTGCTGAATGAATGAATGAGCAGACATATGAACAAGGCTAAATTGTAATTATTATTTGGGGTACAAACTCTTAACTGCCCCACCATCAGGAATATGTGAGTTCCTAATACATTCCTTTTATTTATTTTCACCACTTGAATTTATACTTGATTATCTGACACTTATAAAAATTTTCTACTGTAATACTGAGAATCTGTTAAGCCACTCCATAATCTGGGGTTAGAGACTGCAGAAATGATGGCAGGAGGAAAAGCAAGAATATGCTCAATGTAACCAACTGGCCTGAGAAGGAACCAAAAGAATTTAATTTTCTCCACACATGGGACTGTGTGCTGTTCAGCACCCTCCCTAAGAGGGCAACAGCTATTAAAGCACACATTCAACTCTTAAGACTTTAAAATGATTGGAAAAATAAAATGACTTATTTTGAAATAAAAATAGAAATGATTTAAAGGGCCTGTCCTGACTTGCAAACTGCTTTGGGAAAAACTTTGAGCTCAGAACAACTGACAGCAATTCAGAGATAAGGGGCCTGTCAGCCAGAAAGGGGGACATGAAGCCACACGAGCCCTCAGGTCCTGTGCCCCCTACTCCCTGGGTGGGAGAGAAAAAACCTCCTGCAGCCTCCAGCTCTGGAATGGGACAGCAGGTGATCCACAGGCCAATGTGGACCTACCCTGGTGTTGGTGGACAGTGGAGGATGCTGTCACGGTTTAAAGCAAGGACTGGGTTCAAATCTCAGCCCTGCCACTTCCTGGCTAATGATCTTGCATGACGCTTCCCAGCCTGCTGCCCGTCTGTGCAATGGGGAACAATATGACTCTCTTGAGAGAATATAAGAATAAACAGAGGCCTATATAGTGCTTAGCACAGTATCTGGCACACAGGTACCCAATAAACAGCATCTGTTATTATTAGGTGGTAGGTAGAAGGCAACCCAGGGAGGTAAAGGAAATATGCCCAGGTGTGCACTGGGGATGAAGGTCACTAAGATGGTCTAAGACAGTGGTTTCTCAACCCTGATTGCATATTATGAGCAGCTAGGGAGCTTTTTAAATGCCAGGGCCAGACTCTTTCCACCACGCAATCTGAATCCATGGGGGCAGGGCCCAGGTATTTTTTTTCAAAGCTCC